GAAAAGCCGAGTTTTAGTAATTGCCTTGTTGCTACCTCTCCTTACAACTTTTTGATCGCTTGCTCTTCTACATTCACATCTGTTCATTCTGCGCGCACAAAAAAACCTTCCTTTTCGACGTTGTTTTTTACGGTAGCAGAAGGCTGAGCGTCAACTGCGCATTAATGCCAAGACGAACAGCAACAACAGTTAAAGTATCCTTACAGATCCAGTGTCAGAGCTGAAGAGTTTTCGATGCGTAATTCTCCAGAAATGCTTTTGCCAGCGACGCTTTCCCATGGAAATGCTTTCGACTGCTACAGAAATACACTTAGAGCGCTGTTCACATTCTTCATCCACACAAATCTGACGCCGAGAAAACAAAACATTTTCACTGAACGGCAAAACGGGTATCACAGCGCAGCGGCTACTAAAGAACCAACTGCGGACTGCCATCACAGCGAACTTCGCAAATGACGGCCCCTATGCTCCGCTGAAGAAGCACACAACATAATTCTGGTAGCATAACAAAACCAACGTTAAAGCAACTCAAATTTTCTTCGTATTTTATGTTGGATGTGATTACGGTTTGATAACGTACAATTTCTGCGGCTTGCTTGCTGTCGCCTGATGGCGTGTTTCCAATTCTGTGCTAATCATGAACATTTTTTCTGAGCAGATAGAGAATGCGCTTTTTAAAAGTGAAAAAACTGCTCCGTAACATCAGTACTGCTGATTTCTCACGGTGAGTTTACTTAACATCGACACACATTTGAAGAACCAATCTTCAAACCAGTTTCATGCTTCTTCGTTGCTTCTGCATTCCGGTTTCTTCCAGCAACTGCAGCTTTTTTCTTCAATGAGATGGATGAGCAGCAATTCATGGGCTGTGCAGTGTAGCTGCTTTGTATAAACAATCATCCGCTGAAGTACCAAAAGCACCAGCCGGGATCCATTGCAATTACGCTGTTGTTGTTTAAAAGATGGCCGCATCTGACCAGCAACTGGGATTTCCTCGTTATACCATCGATCCATTTGTGATTTCTCAGCAGCAGTTGTTCAAACACCACTGGTCACTTTGTGTTAGGATCAACAGTGT